TTTGGCAAGACAAATGGTGGGGAAAAATTGCTGTGAAGATTTTCTGTTCTAGGGAAGAAAGCCCTAAGACCCCAATTTACATTTCGACTCTCCTGAAAAGTGAATATTTTAGCATCAACCCAATTCAGAGGAGAAGATTTGCGGGCCCCCAGTGTCGGGGTGATCACGGCCCTTATTCTCTTTAACGCTGGCCAGCCTTCCAGATGCCATGCCGTTCATGAGACAGTTTAATTGCTCTAGCTTTGCCCAGCTGTGGTTCATCTTCAACAGGTTTCATCTCCACGTTAGGACAGAGGCCTAGGGATATCAAGAGGTTACTCCAATAGAGGCTAAATCGGCCTCCTCCCTCCCACTACTGCTGGAATGGAGCGTCACATACCGTATCCACTCGATTTTCCACTGTGACCAGTTTTTTGTTGTTGTTGTTGTTGTTGTTTTGTTTGTTTGTTTTTGTTTTTTTTCGAGACAGGGTTTCTCTGTGTAGCTTTGCGCCTTTCCTGGAACTCACTTGGTAGCCCAGGCTGGCCTCGAACTCACAGAGATCCACCTGCCTCTGCCTCCCGAAAGTGCTGGGATTAAAGGCGTGCGCCACCACCGCCCGGCCCACTGTGACCAGTTTTATGTCTAGAGGTAGCAGCTCTTTGCGGGAATCCTCTGGAGATCAGAAAGGCCTTTCTCCCTCCCTTCTGGCTGCTTAAGTAGGACAAAATTGGCAGTAGAGAGACAGCTCAGTGGTTAAGAGCACTGGCTGCTCTCGCAGAGGACACAGGTTCTGTTCCCAGCACCCACATGCTGGCTCACAACTGTCTGTCACTCCAGTTCCAGGGATCGGATGCCTTTTTCTGGTTTCCTCACGCACCAGGCTTTGCACGTGGCACACACACTTACACGAGACAGAACGCTCATAACAAATAAAATTTAAATCTATCTATCTATCTATCTATCTATCTATCTATCTATCTATCTACCTACCTACCTACCTACCTATTTATTGATTTTCTGAGGGTTTCTCTGTGTAGCCCTGGTTGTCCTGGAACTCACTCTGTAGATCAAGCTGGCCTGGAACTCACAGAGATCCTCCTGCCTCTGCATACTGAGTGCTGGGATTAAAGGTGTGAGCTGCCACCACCTGGCTTTTTGTTGTTGTTTAAAATTTAAATAATTTTTTAAAAGTAGGATGAGTCTGTAGCCATAATAGAAATAACAGTAACACTAAGGGAGACAAGCATTTGAGGCCCTCCTCATTGGTCTTATCTTTGATGGGGGGGGGGCGTAGAAAGTGTTTGTGTAGCACACACCAGGCCCTGGGTTCAGTCTTCAGTTGGAGAAGGAATGGCGTCTTTGATAACGGTACGAGGGACCAACCCTTCACTTCAGGAATTGTAGTTCGAGTTCATCCTGCTCCCAACTAGGTAGTTTGAAATGGTGCAAGCAAAAAAACCTCTGCCCTAGAAACTGTCTTGCATGGGCAACGCCATGATTATATTGCTAGTTGTAATTCCAGTTGTGCATTGTCAAGACGCAAGCTTAGGAGTTTCTTCTGGGGAACAGCCGTGATTCTAAACTTCCCTGTTCTCTGAAGACCGATGATTGGGGAAGAGCCCAGAAAGCGGACATCCTTGATGCTCAGACACCTTTCAGTCATCACAGTCAGAAACAGAGATCCAATAGACAGCCACAAAGAGCTGGAAAACGCCATGTGAGTGACCCTGGGGTGCACACCCCGGGGATATGCCAATGGTTTCCACCCAGGAGACACGGCCCATCTGTGGTTGCCAACTGGGTGGCCCAGTCATAGAGTAGTGATTATGGTCTGGAATCTGGCTGACCCTGCGTGTGGTTTTCACTCTAACTCTGGCTGGATTACTGTCCTTTCCACTCAAGGCAGAGGCTCAGAGTAGGCAGTGCTCCTGAGACGCACAGGGGTGCCTGTACTTGGCGTTGGGGAGTGTCCCGTCAGGCTTCTGTGCATGCTAGCACATGCTAGGGTCTGGTGGACCTGGGAAAATTTCCCATAATGCCTTTCACTCCTTGAGATTGCCTGACGAGATGGCAAAGACGGTGGAGCATGTCGACTTAGCCGGAGCGGTGGGTGTCAGCACTGGATATCCCACAGCCCCAGGAAACCTCTCAGGCTTTGGGGAAAGTGGGTCTGTGGGTCAACTTGAGCCCCGACGAGTCCTGCCAGCTAACAGAGAGGCCTACCTCGTTAAGGAAAACCACGCCACTGGAGCTCTGGAAATCCTCACAAGCTGTGACTCAGGAGCCCACTCCAGCTCCAGGAGTGAAAGAAGTAGCCACGGACATCCTCACCTCTTCCCCAGCTTAGGAAATGGGGTTCTGAAGAGGAGTGTGGGTCTCGTTGGTTCTGGGACTGTGTACCTGCTAGGATCTGGATGGGTTCACCTCTTCTTCTCACCAACATTTGTTGAACCCGGGTAGGTAGTGACCCGTCCTGCAGGAGGCCGACAGGTCACACGCTTCTGGCTTTAGCTCCACTCCCGAAACCGCAAACAGAGACTCCTCTGTAGGGAAGAAAAGAGAAAAGCATCAGCATATGATTTCCTGAGATCTTCCACAGGGCATCTATTTTGTCCACCGGCTGTAACATCTGTTGTTACCCGAAGAGACGTCAAAATAGGCAAACTTCCTAATAACCTATACTGACTCAGGGCTGACTCACTGTTCCAGATCTTTGATAGTTGCCAAGTGTTCCCAAGGCAACTTGGGAAATTCGATTCAGTGCCTGCCCGCCAAACGAACACAGTTGAAATTGGGGAAGGGCCTGGAACCCATGGGGGAAAGAGTTAGAATGCCAAGCCAAGGAGTCCAGACTGCAGTCCCGGCAAGGGCAGGCAAAGAGCATCACGTGGGGCTAAATATACTGTGGAAGGTTAAAAGATCTGTCAGAAACATTAGTCGCCAGAGCAATGGTCCTCAACCTATGGGTCGCGACCCCTTGGAGGTTGCAGATCAGATAACCTGTATGCCAAATATCCTGCATATCAGGTATTTATATCGCAATTCATAATAGTAGTGAAATTACAATTAGGAAGTAGCAATGAAATAATATTATGGTTGGGGGCGAGGTCACCACCACATGAGGAACTGTACTAAAGGGTCGCAGCATTAGGAAGGTGGAGAATCACTGCTTTAAAGAGAGTCTAAATAGACTCTAAGGCATGACTTTGATAAAATCATAAAAAACTATTTTGAAATATCTTTATGTATTACCCTCATTTTTATACATAGACAGATGTTCCTTGGCTTACCATGGGACATGTCTTGGTAAACCATCATAAGTCCTTGGGTTTAATCCCCAGCACAGAAGAAAGGTAACAGATATCATACATCAAAAATAGATTCTTTATCTTATGTGTACGGGTGTTTTACCTGCATGTACGTTTGTGCACTATGCATGCAGTGCCTGTGGAGGCCAGAATGGGACACTGGATCCCCTGGGACTGGAGGTACAGGATATCTGATATACAGGCTAGCTGGTATGCAATCCCAAAGGGGTCACAACCCTCAGGCTGAAAACCAATTCTCTGTGTTCTGTGGTATGGGTGCTGGGAACTGAATCTAAGAACTGGTCCCCTAGAAGAACAATTGTTGCTTTTAAGCACGGAGACATCTCTCCAGCTCCATCAGAAATGCATTTTAAAGGGGCTGGAGAGTCGGCTTAGCAGGTAAGAGCACTGGCCCTGTTTTCAGAAGTCTTGACTTCAATTCCCAGCACCCACATGGTGGCTTGCAAGGGTCTACCGCTGTAGTCCTACAGGATCTGATGCCCTCTCCTGCTGTGCAGACATACATGCAGACAAAATGCCCACGTACATAAACTAATACAAAAATGTATTTAATAAGACCCTACCTCAAAACAATAACAACCACAGCAAGCATTGAACACACCTAACCTACGGGATGTGAGAGCTTACCCACACTATACACCGTAGAGCTGGTTGTTTCCCTGGTGACTGTGCGACGGGGAACACGGAACAGTTCTGCCACCACCCAGTGAGGAGAGAGTGTGTCACTAGACCGCCAAAAGATCAAAACTTGAAATAAAGTCATCCCTTGTGCCACGGTCCAGGACTGGTGCATGTGCGAAAAGACACTGAATCTCTCATGTAAAGCAGAAGCGTTTGTGCGTATCACACACACGTACAATGTCCTTTCAATTGTCTCTAGATTACCCGTCACCCCTAATGTTGCTGGAGAGCTTCTCTCCAGGTTCCACCAAGCCCTACAGTCCCACAACCCACGTATAAAATAATCACTCAGACGCTTATATTGCTTATAAACTGTATGGCCGTGGCAGGCTTCTTGCTAACTGTTCTTATATCTTAAATTAACCCATTTCTATAAATCTATACCTTGCCACGTGGCTTGTGGCTTACCGGCATCTTTACATGCTGCTTGTCCTGGCGGTGGCTGGCAGTGTCTCTCCCTCCTTCTTCCTGTTCCCCCAATTCTCCTCTCTCCTTGTCCCACCTATACTTCCTGCCTGGTCACTGGCCAATCAGTGTTTTATTTATATAGAGCGATATCCACAACACCCTAATGCAGTACACACTGTTTAATCTAAAAGATGATGACAAGAGAAAAATTGGCCCACGTCAAGCCCAGAGACAGTCCCCTGAATTTGTGGGGTTGCCTGAATCTGATGGATTCTGCAGTCAGGAAACCCATGGGTATGGAAGGCCCATTCTAGGGTTCCTACTATGCATATGGCTTTTCCCCACGGGGATGTATATTACACCCTTTTGTACTTTCCTTTAGTTCACACCACAGCACAAACGGCGGAAATAAACAGTGTCCATACTTTGCAGATGGCTCTGTAAACTCAAATACAAGCCAATTTAGGAGTGTCGTCTCCAGGAGAAACCTCTTTGTACCATGGAGGCAGTGACTTGAAAAGCTTGGGTTTCCTGGAGGCTGCCTTGTCCCTCAAAAGTAGGGATGGGAAATGGAGAGGGGGAGGAGGGAGAGAAGAAGGAAGGAGGAGAGAGGTGGGAGGGGAGAGGAAAGAAGAGGGAGTGAGGGAGAGAGAAAGAGAGAGAGGGAGAAGGGGAGAGAGGGGGAGAGAGAGGGACTGAAAGAGAGAATCTAATCAAAAGGATTCAGTGCGTCGCAGGCTGCCAGGCTCTCCTTCCTGACTCACTGTAAAAGAAAATGGAAAAGCGGAGAAGGAAAAGATAGAAAGGGAAGGGGAGAAGAGGGGAGGCAGTAGACGGCTCTCCCCCAGTCATCCGCAGCGAGGCAAGTCCTTCCACTCTGGTGACTGCTCATTAGCTTAGCGAATCTGACAGCGTAATTATCACAGCCGCTTTGCGCTTAGAATAAATAAATACGCAAGTGGGTGCTTAAAAGTTTTGTTTTTTTTTTTTTTTTTTTGCGAAGGAGATTCAGTCATCTAGACTGTCGGTGTGACAAGTTTACTTAAAACTTTTCCATTCTTCCGAATTTAAATCATTTCGGAGGAGATAATGAGATAGTTGTCGCTCAGTCTAATTGAGTTCCTCAGCTCCCGGCAGCTGCCTGTCACCCTTTCAAACTGGCTTTGACTTTCTTCCTGAACAAACCGGATCCCAGTGTCTCTGTTTGCTCTCCCTGCGCTGATAACCTGGGGAAGGCCGGTGCACTGGAGTGCAGAGGGTGACTTAATGGGATTGGGGGGCTGAATAACCTTCACAGGAAACGAGATAATCTAATCTCCCTTGTCTGTGCCGGCTAAAGGAGACAGGCCGAGTTACAAAGAGCCTGGAAATTAAACCAGCCTTGCAAAATGTCTTGCTCTTTCCCTCATCACGTGGACGTTGGGCTCTTCTTACACATCATCAGTCCGTCCGCTCAAACTGCTTATTGTGTGTGACTCTTCAGAGTGCACACTTCTGCACAAGGAGGCCGGAATCCTGGCTCATGTGTCTGGATGGCAGCTTCCTATCTTCAAAGCCCAAAGGTTCACAGCGTACCTTAAATTGGAGTTGCCCAACTAACAGGGAGCGCACCAACGACTCGGACTCAGGGCACGGTGCACACGCATCTCCCATTAAAGCGGATAATCTTTCCTTTGAAAGTTAATTAGTGCCTATTTGTCTTTTCCTCTCCATCTTGCCTCTCGAGACTCTCCTAGAAGCACACTTACTCACTATGTCCAGTGAGCCGAAGGTTTCATGAACGTTCAGTTCATTCTGGGATAAAAGAAACTAGTGTTAACCCACTGTGCAGATGGAAAAATCAAGGCCTCAGAAGGCCAGTGGTGCATCTGGTTTTGGGGAAAAGAAAAGAAAGAAAGAAAGAAAGAAAGAAAGAAAGAAAGAAAGAAAGAAAGAGAGAGAGAGAGAGAGAGAGAGAGAGAGAGAGAGAGGGA